AGGAGAGTTTGGGGGGTTCAGTAGCCATTTGGGGGATTCAGGAGCCACTTTGGGGGTGCAGGAGAGTTGGGGGGGCTCAGGAGCCGTTTTGGGGTGCCCCCCCACCTGAACCCCCTCGCCCTTCCCCCCCCCAGACGCCTGGAGCCGTCGCTGGGTGGAGTCGAAGCACAAATCTGACTACGGCAAGTTCGTCCTCAGTGCCGGAAAGTTCTACGGCGACGCCGAGAGGGACAAAGGTGAGGCTGAACCCCAACCTGTCCCTGGGGACACCCCAAAATCTTCCGGGATGAGGCTGGAGGTGGCACTTAGTGCCATGGTCTGGTGACCACAGTAAGGTTGGACTCGATGATCTTGGAGGTCTTTTTCAACCTGGTGGATTCTGTGGTCTAGTAGTGACAGTAGGGTTGGACTCAATGATCTTAGAGATCGTTTGATGACTTTGCAGGTCTCTTCCAACCTGGTGGATTCTATGACTCTATGGTCTACTGACAACAGTAGGGTTGGACTTGATGATCTTGGAGATCTCGTCCAACCTGGTGGATTCTATGACTCTCTGATTCTATGGTCTAGTAATGATGGTAGAGTTGGACTTGATCTTGGAGGTCTCTTCCAACCTGGTGAATTCTATGATTCTATAGTCTAATTACCATGGTAGGGTTGGACTCGATGACCCTGGAGGTCTCTTCCAAGACAAGACTGGAGGTGGCACTTAGTGCCATGGTCTGGTGACCACAGTAAGGTTGGACTCGATGATCTTGGAGGTCTTTTTCAACCTGGTGGATTCTGTGGTCTAGTAGTGACAGTAGGGTTGGACTCAATGATCTTAGAGATCTCTTCCAAGACAAGACTGGAGGTGGCACTTAGTGCCATGGTCTGGTGACCACAGTAAGGTTGGACTCGATGATCTTGGAGGTCTTTTTCAACCTGGTGGATTCTGTGGTCTAGTAGTGACAGTAGGGTTGGACTCAATGATCTTAGAGATCTCTTCCAAGACAAGACTGGAGGTGGCACTTAGTGCCATGGTCTGGGGACCACGGTAGGGTTGGACTCGATGACCTTGGAGATCTCTTCCAACCTGGTGGATTCCATGATTCTCTGATTCTATGGTCTAGTAATGATGGTAGGGTTGGACTTGATCTTGGAGGTCTCTTCCAACCTGGTGGACTCTATGACTCTATAGTCTAGTAACCACCGTAGGGTTGGACTCAATGATCTTGGAGGTCTCTTCCAAGACAAAACTGGATCTAGCACTTAGTGCCATGATCAAGCAACCACGGTAGAGTTGGACTTGATGATCTCGGAGGTCTTTTCCAACCTTGTTGATTCTATAGTCTAGTAATGACAGTAGGGTTGGACTCGATCATGGAGATCCCTTCCAAGACAAGACTGGATGTGGCACTTAGTGCCATGGTCTGGTGACCATGGTAGGGTTGGACTCGATGATCTTGGAGGTCTCTTCCAACCTGGTGGATTCTATGATTCTATGGTTGAGTAACCACAGTAGGGTTAGACTCAATGTCCTTGGAGTCTCATCTTGGAAGAGATCTGGATGTGGCACTTAGTGCCATGGTCTGGTGGCCATAGTAGGGTTGGACTCAATGGCCTTGGAGGTCTCTTCCAACCTGGTGGATTCTATGATTCTATGGTCTAGTGCCCACAGTAGGATTGGACTCTGATCTTGGAGGTCTCTTCCAACCTGGTGGATTCTATGATTCCATGGTTTAGTGCCCACAGTAGGGTTGGACTCGATGACGTTGGTGGACTCTTCCAACCTGGTGGATTCTCTGACTCTGTGGTCTAGTGCCCACAGTAGGATTGGACTCTGATCTTGGAGGTCTCTTCCAACCTGGTTGATCCTCTGACTCTCTGATTCCCCCCCCCAATCTGTTCCCCCTCCCCTCAAGGCATCCAGACGAGCCAGGACGCTCGTTTCTACGCCCTCTCCGCTCGCTTCGAGCCCTTCAGCAACCGCGACAAGACGTTGGTGCTGCAGTTCACGGTGAAGCACGAGCAGAACATCGACTGCGGAGGAGGATATGTCAAGCTCTTCCCTGCCAGCCTCAACCAGGAGGACATGCACGGGGACTCGGAGTACAACATCATGTTTGGTGGGTGCTGTTCCCTCCTCTGGGCTCAGAGCTGCTCCCCGGGGCGGTGGTTGAGCTCTGCTGCTCCCTTCTCCACGCAGGACCTGACATCTGTGGGCCTGGGACCAAGAAGGTTCATGTCATCTTCAACTACAAGGGGAAGAACGTGTTGATTAATAAGGATATTCGGTGTAAGGTGAGTCTTGGGGGGAGTTTGGGGGTCATGAGGGAGAGGCTGGGGGGAGAGTTTGGGGTCTGGGGAGGTTTGGGGGTCTGGGGAGGAGTTTGGGGTGATGTTTGGGGGTCATGGGGAAGAATTTGGGGATCTGGGGAGGAGTTTGAGGGGTCCTGGGGGAGAGT